ATGGATGGATGGATGGATGGATGGACGGATGGACGGACAAAAGGGGAAGGAAGGGAGGAAGGGAGGAAGGGAGAAAGGAAGGAAGGAGAAAAGGAAGGATATCCAAAAATCTTCGAATAAATACACACAAACATTGACAAAGCATTAGTTGCATTCATCCATTCTTGAATATGATTGTGTTCATATTTAGATTTAAGACAAATAACTTTCTTCAGTTCTATATAATATTACACTTACCAGGAGATTTTGGTTTTCCTTTGGGGCTTCCTTTGGCTGACCCTTTGGGACTTCCTTTTCCTTTGGCTGACCCCTTAGGACTTCCTTTTCCTTTGGCTGACCCCTTAGGACTTCCTTTTTCTTTGGCTGACCCCTTAGGACTTCCTTTTCCTTTTGGTGACCCCTTAGGACTTCCTTTTTCTTTTGGTGATCCTTTAGCTTTGCCTTTGCCTTTGCCTTTGCCTTTCTTTGCTAAACCATCACTATCAGGTGAGGTACGCAGTTCGGGAGGTGTTGGACTTTCATCCATCTTTTAAATGCTTCTGAAAAGTGAACAACAGAAAAATCAGATAACGAGACAGAACTGAAATGATGCTCTCAATGTCCGTATTTATAACTAAACTGGTTGATTATGATTTATATAAAGTTGGAGTTAAATAGGAGTTACCTAGATAACCTCATAATTGCTTTCAATGGGAATGTGGTTTTGGTTCAACTTAGAATCGGGCTTGCAAAAATATAGAGAATACTCAGTTGATTTAAGGTGTGAGAAATTCAAGGGTCCATTTGGAACTCTGAAAGTATCTTGAGTGAAATATTGTTGGGATTCCTGAAAATATTTTGTGCTTTTTCATCCCAATTTACCCTGGGATGATTTTGTTCCTGAAAGTCGAAGCAGAAGAGGATAAGTTGTATGAGAAAGGGAAGAGGTATGACGTATGGTGCTAACTACTAATCAATGTACAGATGGAATATATTCTTCTCCATCACTCTCCATTTAAGATCCCTGTGTTACGATTATCATTTTCATTTCCCAAGTCCTCAGAAACATTTGGAAAATTATCTGTGATTATCTTAACTTGTTTCATTTTTTTCAGTATTAAAATCCGGGGCGGGGGGGAAATCACTGTCTACTCCAACTATTATAGGTCCCTTTATTCTCACTTCATATAAAAGGGGAAAACCAAGCTAATTAATTTAATATTTTGTCTTGTCTAAAACTGAAAACATGGGGGAAATTAACTGAACATTTCCATTTCACTTATATACCAGAAATAAATTGGTTCAACTTGCCAAGGACAGTGCTGTTGTGGGAACACAGCATTCTGGTGCCATTTTTCAAATTAGTATAGCAATAGCAATAGAAGTTAGACTTATATACCGCTTCATAGGGCTTTCAGCCCCCTCTAAGCGGTTTACAGAGTC